CTGGTCTTCTCCCCCCCCCTTTTTTTGGTCAGGGGTCCTTTTAAAAAACCCCAATCAACTGAACATGGTAGCATATGCTTTTAATCCCAGCACTCAGGAGATAGAGACAGGCAGATCCTTGTACTCAAGGCCAGCCTGGTCTACAGGGCAAGTTCCAGGACAGCTAGGGCTGTGCAGAGAAACAAACCCTGCTCTGAAAAACAAAACAAACAACCACAAAAAAAAAAAAACCCAATCTATGTCAGCAGAGATTTTTTTATTATTGTTTTCTTATTGTGTGTGACCATGAACTTGCTGCCTGTGGAGATCAGCGTCACATTTCTGCCCCCTCCTGGGACACTGGACTGTTTCAGCTGTAAGGGCCAAATCCTTCCCATTCTACATGCAATGTCATCTTTGCTTGCTTGCTTGCTTGCTTCATGTTTGTTTTGTGAGAACACCTAGGCATGGATATTTATTTAAGCAGCTTGGCATGTATTTCTCTTTCCTCCTGTTCTGACTCATAGGAAAGAAGTGAGGAAATGCCCCCACGTCATAGCTTCCCTACAGTGGCTTCTGCCTTTTACCTCCCTCTCCCAAGGTCACACAGCTGAGTCATCAACCGGATGCAAAGCCTTGCCTGGGTTTGCATCAGCTGGCAGCAGGACCAGGGCCTTGTACTGATGAAACACAACGGTTTATTTTGCAACGTCAGCCTTCCTAAACAATATATCAATGTCATCCGGCTGTTGCCTGATCACAGGCCTTGTTCAGTGACTGCCTGGGCCAACTCCCTATCCCCTTTGGACTTAACTGGGAATCACAGTCTCTCCCCTCCCCCAGCTTTTCCTATCTCAAAGCCTTGAACTCTTTACTTTTACTTTTGTGTTTATGTGTGTGTGTGTGTGTGTGTGTGTGTGTGTGTGTGTGTGTGTGTGTGTGTGTACAGTATGTGTATGTAGGTCAGAGGACAACCTCAGGAGTCAGTCTCTGCCTTCTATCTTGCTTGGGACAAGGTCTCCTTCTTGTTCACTGCTAAGTAAGCCCATGAGTTTCTGGGTATTCTCTTGTCTCCACCTCCCATTTCACATAGGAAAAACTCACGCTATCATGCCCAGCTTTTCTGCTGGGTTTGGGCATCCAAGCTAAGGTCCTCGCCCTTGCCTAGCAAAAGGTTTGCCAGCTGAGCCATCGCCCCAGTCCCACCCTCAAATTCTTCTAAGTGCCCTCCACTGCAGACCAAAGTGCATCCAGAAATAGGGATTGCCATGAGCTGCTTTCAGCGTCAGATAGAACATCATTAAATGGAAGCCTGCAGGCTTCTACTTTCTGACTTTGGCCTGTAATCCTGCTTCATTCTGCCATTTACTCGATAGTAACAATTGTTGCCATTATTGTTGTCCTTGGTGGGTTGGTTTTGTTTGTTTGTTTGTTTTTGTTTTGTTTTTGGTTTTTCGAGACAAAGTTTCTCTGTGTAATTTTGGTGCCTGTCCTGAATCTCCCTCTGTAGCCCAGGCTGGCCTCGAACTCACAGAGATCCTCCTGGCTCTGCCTCCTGAGTGCTGGGATTAAATTAAAGGTGTGTGCCACTGCCGCCAGGCTCCTTGGTGGTTTTGACGTGTGAAGTGTGAAAAGGCACCTTTATCTGGATGGAGCTGAGGGTTCATAAGAGGAACAGGGTACTAGCTAGGTGGGTGTGCTTTGTATGTGTGGGTATGTGCACACGTGTGCATATGTGGAGGTCAGAGGTCAACATTGGCTGTCCTTCCTCAGAAGCCATCCACTTCAATTGTTTTATTTTGAGGCAGCTTCTCTCAAGCTCAAAAAGTAGGCTAGGCTAACTGGCTGTGGGGCCCCTCCGGGATCTGCCAGTCTCTACGTCTCCGGCGCCGGGACTGTAAGTGTGCACCACCGTGTCCAGCCCTTTTGTGTAGATTCTGGGGGCTTTGAACTCGGCACAGCAAGCATATTACCAACTGAACCATCACCCCAGTCCCATAGGTAAGGGGTTTCTTAAATATGATTCCCAAAATCCCCTCCAAAGATGAAAATATGATAGGTTGATATGATATGTTTGGCAGACACTGGTTTAAAAAAACCTGGAAAAATAAGCCACAGACTGCAAAAATATTATATATATATATATATATATATATATATATATGCTTGTATTTAGGATATATGAACAACTCCCAAAGTGCAATAATAGGAATTCAAACAATCCAATTAAAAACACATAAAGGATTTGATCAGGTACTTAGCAAGAATACATGTAGAACACAAGTAATCACATGAAAAGATGCTGAACCTCATTTGTATTTTCAGAAGAAGGAATTAAAATCGCCATGGGTACCGGGATAATCCCAGAGTGGCCACAATGGCAAAGATTCATTACAAAAGTCGAGCACCTGAACTCCCGTGCTGAGGGCAGCGAAGGAATCGGCACAAGTGTGCTGAACACATCTCCCTGTTTTCCTGAAAGCAAAACTGATGCCTGCCCCACGAGGCAATGGCTTCACTTTCAGGAGCACCCCCCAAGGGAAACAAAAGGAATGTTCACAACAGCTTTACATGGAATAAGTAAAAACTGGAAACATGGCAGTGTGCACCAATGGGTAAACACGTCATATGGATACAATGAAACATCGCTTAGCAATGAAAATGGTGACTAACTAATATCCCAACAAAACAAATGGATCTCTTAATAATACTTTCATACTCATGGTATATGAAAGAATCTGTTTGGAGGAGGAAAATGGGGGAGGGTGATGAATAGGACTTCATGTATGTAAGTTTCTAGAAAGTAATTAAGGTAAGGAGCAGATAACAATCAGCAGTTGTTGTACATCAAGTAGATAGAAAAAGACTACAAAGAAGATATTGGAGGAATTTTTACAGGGTTTCTCTGTGTAGATCTGGCTGTCCTGGAACTTGCTCTGTAGACCAGGCTGGCCTCAAATTCATAGAGATCCGCCTGCCTCTGCCTCCTGTGTGCTGGGATTAAAGGTGTGCACCACCACTGACTGCCCTGTTAATATAGAGGGAAATTTTAAGATGACAGATACGTTCATCATCTTGATTTGGTAGTGGTTTCACAATGGGTACTCAAGTAAAAACTTACACAATTATATGCTTTAAATATGTAAATGAAGCTACACATATGCTGTGCATATGTGTGTATTTGTTATTGACTGATGATCCACATGATTTTTTTCCTGAGCTAGAGAATCACTCTGTGAGCCAGGTGGTGGCAGTGGTGGCGGCGGTGGTGGCGGCGGTGGCATTCCGGAGGTAGAGGCAGGCGGATCTCTATGAGTCTGAGGCCAGCCTGGTCTACAAAGTGAGTGAGTTCCAAGACAGCCAGGGCTGTTACACAGAGAAACACTGTCTCGAAAAAAAAAAAAAAAAAAAAAAAGAATCACTCTGTGGCTCAGGATGGCCCCCCATTTGAAATCATCCTGCCTCAGCCTCCCAAGTGCTAGGATTATAGGTAGTGTCACCATGCTTGGCTAAATACTTCTTTTGTTGTTGCTTTTCTGTTGTTGAAAATCATGGGGATCAGGAACAGAGGGATTAGAATTCTATTTTGGCTTTCCCCCTACTTCAATTTCCTTGTCTAGAAAACAGGGATAATAATAATAATAGTACTTACCTATAGTAGATCGAATGCTTTACCCCTCCCCCTCATATATGTCCATATGCCAATCTCTTAGTATACATGAAGCCCGGTAAACACACATGTGCATGTACACACACACACACACACACACACACACACACACGTCTTCGAAGACGTGATTAAGGATTTTTATATAAGAATATCATTCTGGATTATTCTTGTGAAACCTAAATCCAGTTATAAGTGTCCTAGTAAATGACAATCAATTCAAGCTCTGAGACTTCAAGAGAACCTTGTTAGAGACTTAGGAACTTCAGTTCAGGAGATACAGATTCAAACAGTCTTGCATGAGTGTTCCAAACGAGATAGGAAAATTAGGAGCGTGAATGAGTCATAAGTGCTGATTTAGTGCAAGGCAGAAAGCAGTTGTAAGAAGTTTCTGTTGATGATGAGGAAGAGCAGGAGCTATGTGAAGGCTCTATGCGACTTATTAGCAATAAGAAGGAAATATATACACACACCTAGTAACTCTGGAGCAAAGCCTGATGGTGTCTGGATAGACACCTTAAGTCTCGGGAGCACTATGCTCATCAGATGACTATCGCTAAAAACTGGCCTTGAGCCAAAGGTCATTTCCCTAGACAGTAGGCTCAGTAAGGTCGGTGAGGTCAGCTCAAGTCCCCTTTCCTGAAAGATGTTTTTACTCTATTTTGAAAACCTCGTTTAATTTTTACTTTATTGTGATTTTTCCCATTTATTTTCACATATGAGAAAATACAGAGAGATTTGTAACAAACAGGTGGGTATCCCAGACGAAGAGGAAAATCTTTGTTGGCAGACTATATTCACTGAATGCTGAGAGAATATATTTTTGTTGTTTTATACACCAAACGTGGCAAATTTGATCTGGAATTAATTCTCAACTTCAAACGGCACTGACGCGTTGTTAAGAGTATTATTTAAATTGTTAAGTTTCTCTGCGAATTAAGTGATGTTAAGCCACAGGAAAGCCACACATAGTAGTAAGCACTAGATAACACTAAGTGAGTTTTGAAGAAAAAAAAAGATTTCCGATGCCAATGCAGCTGGTTCTTGACGTTTTTGCTTTTCTAGATTGCGACTGGTGGACTGGAAGCCATAATGTGGGAGTCTCTTGTAAATTTATGCAATTAAACCATGATGACTGGCAAAAAGAACGGAGTGTTTCTCTAGGAGGTTCTGCGGAGCCTAGAAGTTCTAGGAAAGGAACTCTCAACGCATTTGTCTTTTTGCTTCTCTATTAGTTGTTTCTATAAATCTCTTATTCTCCAATGCAACTTAGAAGGGAATGCAGGAGGCAGCGGGCTCTGAGGAGAAAAACACTCTCAATGTCTATTTGAGCCCAGAAGCCGTCAGAGCTGGTGCCAAAGCTTCGTCTTCAGAAAACTACGACTCCCAGAAGCCTTTGGGTGGCAGGATTGGAAGAAGCCTCAGAAAAGGGGTGGAGTCCAGGGGGAAGAAGTCGTTGGCCGATTCCATGGTCCTGAGTGGAGGGACCACCTGGGCGGCCGTGGACGGATCGGCGTTCTGATTGGTTGTAACTAGAAAGGGCGTCCGCCGTGGGGTTGGTACGGTCCTCGGGGGCGGGGACCCAGCGGCGGCCGCTCGAATTTCCCGGGTTGGGCGCGCGGGGACTGCCGGGAGGCTCTCGGGACGGTTACCCACCGGGCCAGCCGTGGTCGGGAGTCGGGTTTCGACATGCAGAGCACTGACCTGGGCAACAAGGAGAGCGGCAAGATATGGCACCGCAAGCCGTCGCCGGCCACTCACGACGGGTGAGGCCGCGGGGCTGCGGAGACCGGCGAGGGGGCGGGGCTGCGGGAGGCTGAGACCGGGCAGCGTGGTGGTGGGGCGCCGGCCCCGGAGTCCTGACTCCGGCCATGCGCTGCATTCCCTGGGTTGGGACCTCAGGAGGAGCAAGTAGCTCCGGAAGTCGTCGGCTGCAGATGCGTCCCAGGTTCTGGTCCCGGGTCCCAGGGAGCGGGGAGGCAAGAGGAAGGCTCTACGACCTATGCAAAAGAATTTGCAGTTCTGCCGAGTGCCAGAACTCCGCCTGCTTTGATTTATTAATGACAGCTCCGTCCGGGAAAAGACTCCATCCAGGAGGTGGAAGGAGCAAAGAGAGCAATTGCATATCCATCTCTCCAAAAGCCGCCGCCGCTCGCCATCCTTAAGTCATTGCACACATCTATGATGTTGAGAGCTAAGTTCTGCAGTTTGCACCGAGGAGTGTATATTGCTGGGGCTGTCAACGAGGCGGAGCCTTCTAGCGCTTCTTTCCATTCTGTTGAGTCTGCCGGGTTTGAGACCCGGCCTCCTGTGTGACGTCAGCTGCCGGTAGTACATTTGTTTTGGTTCACATGGTGCATGTCTAAGTGATCTTGGTGTTTCTGATTCCCTGGGCTTGCACGGACTTCATCACTTTGGGTACATGTCTCGAGGTTTGTTACTCTAAAGACTTCTGTTTATCTTTTAGTTGCTTCCCCAGAAATCAAAATAAGTGTCTTTGTAGGCTGAAAGCACAATTAAAAGTGTTGGGTCAGCCACTTACTTAACCAGCCAGCCACTTTGGTTTTTGGTGGCCACCCTTTATCAATGCTGTTGACCTACCAACCTATTAAATAAAAAAGTTTGTCAGTAGTGGAGATTCTAAAGTGTTTTCATTTCCAAATATGGAGTTTGTGTAAGTAGCACTCTCTACCTCTGGTTTCTCTAAAAGGTCTGAGAATTATAGCTAACCTACTATTTCTTGCTGTTGCAGAGTATCTAGATAGGTATGTAAGATTCAAAAAGAACAAGTTCTTTATTATGTGCTTCCACAAAAACATAGCTTTCTTTTTTGTTCATTTAAACCAGTGGTTCTCAACCTGTGAGTCAAACGACCCATTCACAGGAGTCACCTAAGACTGTTGGAAAATACGGCAGATATTTATGTTCCGATTCATAACAGTAGCAAATTTACAGTTGTGAAGTAGCAATGAAAATAATTTTATGGTTGGGGGTCACCATAACCTGAGGAACTGTGTTAAAAGGTTGCAACATTTGGAAGGCTGAGAACCACTGATTTAAACCCATGCTGGGCCAGGGAGAAGGTTAGGTAGATAAAGATGTATTCCAGTTTCCTGTCTGTTGCTGTGATAAAACACTCTGACCAAAAGCAACTAAATTAGGACAGGAAAGGATTTATTTGGCTTACATTTCCAGGTCACAATACATCATTGAATAAAGTCCGGGCAGGAACTTGAAACAGAAACTACGGAGGAACACTGCTTGCTGGCTGGCTGGCTGGCTGGGTCATGCTCAGCTAGCTTATAAAACATGCAGTTGAGGACTACCTGCCCAGGGAATGGTGCCACCCAATCAAGTCAATCCCCTGCAGTCATGCCACAGGCCAGTCTAATCTAAACCCTTCCTCAGCCGAGGCTTTGCCCACAGATGACTCTAGGCTTGTGTCACATTGACAATTAAAACTAACTAGGGTACCCACACTCCACAAAGTTGTCCTCATCCTCCACATGTGCTGCATGGCATACACATACACTACACACTGATAATTACCTTTTGGGGAGGGGGGTTCAAGATAGGGTTTCTCTATGTAGCCTTTGCTGTCCTGGAACTCACTCTGTAGACCAGCCTGGCTTTGAATTCATAGAGATCTGCCTGCCTATGCCTCCAGAGTGTTGGGATTAAAGGTGTGCTCTAAAACCACCCGGCAATAATTACATTTTTTTTTTAAATAAAAAAAAAATATTGCTGTGGGTTGAGAGAGACAAAGATGATCCAGAAGATTTGTTGAAGTAAGTGCAAGTTTACCAGGTGGATCCGTGGAGCAGATAACCGGTCACTAAGCAGGGATAGTCACATTTAGCAACACAGTTTGTTAACCTGAATACTGCCCTTTGGTGACCTAGCCAAATTCTAATCTGCCATAATCTTATTTTTGTTGTTTGGTTGAATTTGTTTGTTTTATCACATTTTTTTTATTGATTGATTGACTGGTTGGTTGATTGACTGTGCATGCCATAGTATACACGTGGAAGTCAGAGGACAACTTTGGGGAGATTCTCGCCTCCCACCTTGAATGAGGATCCTGGGGATTGAACTCGGGTCCTTAGGCTTGGCCGCAAGCACCTTTACTGGCTGAGCCATCACGACAGCCTGGCTTTGGTGTTTTGCAACAAGGTCTCACTTTTCTATCCCAGCCTGGGTAGGAACTTGTGATCCTTCTGGCTTGGGCCTCCAAAGTGCTAATATTAAAGGTCCACCTTGCCTGGCTATTTTTAATATTGTGAACAATCATCATTTGATTTTTGTCATCAAACTGTAATGTTACAGAAAAAAAGGCTGAGAGGGAAGAGTTATTTGTTGGCTCTGAGTTTAGTTGGTCGTGTGTATGTGTTTATGTGTTATTTGTGTCTGTGTTCATGTGTGTGTGTGCAGGTGTGCCTGTGAAGGCCAGAGATCAGCATCAGTTGTCCTTAATTGCTCCCCACTTTAGATTTTGAGTCATAGCCCCTCACTGAACTTGGTGCTCATCGGTTTAGCTAGACTGGCTGGCCAGTGAACTCAAGGGAGCTGTCTGTCCGCAGTTGCCCATCGCTGGGGTGATGGATGTGAGCCTCCTCACAGGCTCTTCCATGAGTGCTGAGGATCCAAACACAGGTCCCCATGCCTCTGCAGGGGGCATTTTACTGACTGAATCGTCAGCCCCAAAGATACGCTGATGTTGTTTCAGGATAATTTTTGTTTTATTATGCCCTTATTTGTTTGGGCATAGGGTCCACTGTAGCCTCTTCTGGCCTCAAACTCACCATTTTAGCTGACAGTGACCTCGATCTTGTGATCCTCTGCCTCCACAAGTGCTGGGATTGCAGATGTACAGATGCATGTGTACTACCATGATTGGCTTAATTCTTTGTTATTGTTGTTGTTTTGGTTTTTTGTTTGTTTGGTTTTTCGAGACAGGGCTTCTCTGTGTAGCCCTGGCTGTCCTGGATCTCGCTCTGTAGACCAGGCTGGCATCAAACTCAGAGATCTACCCGTCTCTGCCTCCTGAGTGCTGGGATTAAAGGCGTGTCCCACCACCGCTAATTTTTGTATGTTTAACACCATGGAACTACATAAAAATGAGGGGTTTTTTCTATCCCTAATCAATCTAAAAAGCTGTATATTTAGGTAAACATGAGGAAAAAACTGCTGAGTATTCAGCCTAGGGCCTTGTACATATTAGGCAAGTGCTGTACCAATGAGCTACATACATCTTCAGTCCTTGGAGAAAATGTTTAATCCACGTATCAATTTAGCACACTTCCGTAAGGTTTTTTTTTTTTTAAATGAGATCTTAATTGGGAATATGAAAACTCTTATACAAGGGGTTGGAGAGATGGCTCAGGGCTTAAGTGCGTCGGCTGCTCTCGCAGAGGATCCAGGTTCAATTCCCAGCACCCACTTGGTACCTCACAGCCATCTGTAACTCCAGTCCCCGGAGGATCTAGCCCCCTCTTCTGGCATCTGCCGGCAGCAGGCGTGGGCTGGGTGCACAGACATACAGTCAGCCAAAAGACCCATGCGCAGAAAACAAATAATTTTTAAAAGATTCATACACAAAAGATAACACTTTCACGATTCAATGCTGTTGTTGAAATAAAGAAGGGGTGCAGGCCAGAAGGCTCAGGAGGTAAGGGAGACTGCGGCCAAGCTGGGCCTCTTGAGCTTAATCCCCGGGGCCCATACGGTAGGAGGAGAGCACTGATTCCTGTAAGTTGTCCCGTGACCTCCGCATGCGAGGCATGTGCACACTCACGCATGTAAGCGCAGACACACACACACACACACACACACACACACACACAAATAATTTGAAACAGAATGGGATTGTACCGTTCTTTAAGACCAGAATGACTATGCCTGTTATCTTCTCTTTTTTGTTTGTTCTTGAGATATGATCTCACTGTGTGTCCCAAGTCAGGTTCATGGCCTCCTGCTTCCGCCTCCTGAGTCCTGGGGTTATAGGCGTGCATCAGTCTGCACCTCTATATTGAAGAGTCATTTTGGGCTGCAAGCTTTTTTCTGATAGTGTGTGTGTGTGTGTGTGTGTGTGTGTGTGTGTGTGTGTAGCATATATGTGGCGGTCGGGGGACAACTGTGGATGTCACTTCTCTCCTTTCGTCATGTGGGCCTAGGGGATCAAACTCAGGCCACCAAGCTTGGTGGCAAGCATCTCTGCCTGCTGAGCCATCCCACAGGCCCAGTGCTATAAGTTTTATAAACAGTTTCTCAGCAGATGCATGGCACAAGAGTCCTCAAAAAATAGTAAATTTAAACAAATATTGCTGTACATTCTTTACAAAGTTTGCCCATGAAAGTAGTATATGATTATTAACAACTACGTGTCAAATGTAGAAAAGTGGAATGGGAGAAAGTCACCCATGTTCCTGTTCTCTTCACACAGCTAACAGTATTTATATGTGTTTATAGTTTTTCCCATGTGTACACCTTTTCTTTTGCATTTTTATTTTAATTGCATGCTTGTGTTTGTATTTCTGGATGAGCGATTTAAAGACTAAGGTTAAGATGCTTGAACTTTCATGTAGCTTTATTCATGCTGCATGTTTCTATAGGGTAATATTGAAGAGTAAACTCCATTTCTTATCGTTTGAGAAGTATGATTCATGGGGGTTTGAAAGAGCAACTTAAAGCACTCCACAGACGTGGTGAGAGTGTGTCCTGTGTTGTAGGTCAGGTGCAGAAATGCAGTGATGAACAAGTAGTCCTCTCAGCACACCCCTGCTGGGGTACTGTGCAGGTCTGTTAGAGGAGGAGATACATTTAACTCATCTGGGAGCATTCTATATTACAGAAACAGACTCTTATACCCTGTTGCCTGTTTGTCATAACATGTGCTGTTCCTGGGTATCTATCTGTAAGTGACAGCAGGGTAGGAATCTTTTCTATCAGTTTGTCCTCGTGTCTGGCTTCCTCAGTTCTGACAGTAAGCGTTAGAATAATTAATGAATAAATGAATGCTAGCTTCTCTCATAATGAATGGCTTTCCGAACTATTTAGAAGTTTTCATAAGATGGTGTCTAGAGAAGAGAAGGAAGAGCACCAGAAAGAATAAGCAGGCAAAACACTGTCAGTAAAACCCTATATGTAAAAACCGCTATGTGATTTAGAATGTAACGTTTAAATCATTGTGTTTTGGCAGAATTATAGTGAACATTGTTCACAGCACTTCCGAATATCACCCGAAAGCTTTGCGGTTTTTGAATGTGGCTTTTGATGGCTCAGGCGACTCCTTCATTGCTGGGGACCACCAGGGAAACATCTATACTTTTGACTTGCATGGAAACAGGTAAGCAGATGCTTTGGGTATGGCCCTTACCATTCAGGAAGTTACTGACTGTTGACTAGTTCGTTACCTCCCGCTGATTTACAAAGTGCTGCTGAGTGCTGCTTTCAGTGCTGATGGAGATGAGGGAAGGAAGGATAAAGGACTGGTTTTACCAGGTCTCTTTACAGCCTGGGTTGGCGTCCCTGTCTCCCTGTCCCTGTCCCCAGTTGCTGGTAGCCACCATCCCGACTGCTTGTTTTTTTTTTCCTTTCATTAAAAAGAAATTACATTGCATTTTATTTATCTTATGTGTGTCTGTATGTGTGTGCATGCACATCATTTCACAGCTTGCATGTACAGGTCAAAGGATCACATTCACAAGTTGATTCTCCTTCCACCATGTGGGTCCCAGGGATTGAAATTGGGTCCTTAGGCTTTATGGCAAGCACTTTTACCACTGAGGTGTCTTGCTGGCTCTGCTTGCTTTTTCTTTTATTTAAATTTTCCATGACTGCAAATTTATTGTTAAATTCTGGCACTTCATTAGGCAATTTAGAAACTTGATTTCCAAGAACCACCAAGGATTATCACCGTCCTCCTTCCTCTTCCGTTAGTCCGGAAGCGGTTAGGTAGGCTTGATCTCTAAGTCTCCATGCCATGAGACAAGGTGGGAAGGTGGGAGGATGTCTGCACAGGGCAAGTGTCGGTGATGGGGAGTTAGCTCAGACAGTCTTGATAAATAAGACAGCACTGGGAAGATAAGAACCTGGCTTCCTACCGGAAGAGAACTCAGTGGAAAGACAAGAAAAAAGTAAAATGAACCCTTCGGCTTTAGATCAGAGTCGGATTTGTCACATGTCTGTGGGTTTGAATATCTGAGCAGAGGTAGAAATAAACACAGACGTCGGTGGGAGTATGAGCACAGTACACATGTATAGTATCGTCTTCTCAGAGCCAGAACAACATGTCAGGAGCAGTGAGTGTACCTCATGGTCAGTTCTTAGATTCCAAGAGCTATCCCTCAATAGAAGAAACCAGAGATCCTTGCAGAAATGGCCAGTTTCAGAATAGTGATGGGTGTAGTACAGGATGAGCCTGTTAACATTTCATAGATAGAAAAATTATCCAGAGAGCAGTAAGGATGTGTCAGGACACAGAAGCCAGCTTGAAGGAGTGCCCATGTGGAGATGATTCGAGCATTAAAGTAATTCCACTGTGCTCAGTTAACAGAAACGTAGCAATGGCGTCCTGTCTGCAAAAGTAGAATCCCGTCATCTCCTTAGTACAGTCCTTGAGAGGTAACTAACCATGGCATTTACACGTGACAGGAATTTACACATGATAGGAATGCCTTCCTTATCCACAGGGCGTCTCTTAGACCTTCCTGTCTATTGTTGGCCCACCATCTTCTAGGCCTCGTTTTCTCCTCTCAGGACTACACCATTGTAAAGTTTGTCATCACTGGTCAAATTTCTGATACTAATGCAGCTATTTATTTCTTACTAGGTTTACTCTTGTTCAACGAACAGCGCAAGCTTGCACAGCCCTGGCCTTTAATCTTCGTAGGAAGTCAGAGTTCCTTGTGGCATTAGCTGACTATTCCATTAAATGTTTTGATACAGGTAAGAAGTCCTCTGTCCTTGGAAGCAGAGTGAAATATAGACTAGCATACTGCAGGGCCCTTACCGTCTGTGTAGTCTCAGGAGCAGTCCGTTTAAGACTGCTCTTGCTTCAGGTTGCCACGAGCCTGGGGTCCAAGGACCATTCCTGCTTCAGGTTAGCTGCTTCTGGAGTCGGCGTTTCCAACACCTTCAATTTCAATAACCTTCTAGAAAACTCAGCAGAACTTAAGAAAGCATTGTCTTAATATAGGCTACACATTAGAGCCAGCCAGTGGGAGAGATGCATGGGATAGGATCTGGAAGGCTTCTAAAGAACACTTCCGTTGTCTGCTGTGATGAGCCCCTCCCAGCATCTCCATGCCCTGACTCTGCCGGAAGTTCACTCGAACTTTAGTGTCAAAAGTTTTAATTGAGGCTCCATCACACAGACATAATTAATTGAATTGTTGCCTGTGTGTAGATGTGAGGGCAATCTGACGGTAACATCTCTCACACCATTATCACCAGGCCTCTGTGGATGAATTCCGTTTCTAGTCCTCCTGCCTTCCTGATACTCAGTCTGTTAATGTTGCTGGTCCTTCAGTAAAGACCAGACCCAACTCTGAGTCCTTAACAGAAGCCATTTATCTGTAGCTAAGGGGCAACTGAATATTATTATAAAGATATTCCTGTCATGTGGGAAACTCCAGGAGTTCCAAGATGACTTCCTGTGAGTTTGGACAAAAACAAGACCTATCTTTCGAGGCCACATTCCCTACTGTCCAGTTATCCCCCACAAAGAATACAAACAAACCAAGTCCCATATATTTCATACCACAGTACATATGTTTTTTAAGTTGGCATTCTGGAGTATTATAGATTAAACCCCTTATTCTTCAAACCAATCGGGAGTGAAAAGAAAAAAATTTAATTGTATTTTTTGTTACTAAATAATTGATGGTATATAATATTTAAAAAGATACAAATATGATTAGTGTTAATAATAGTGACAATGAACAGTTATATTGTATTTAGTCTTCTTTAAGGACTGTTTTCTGAATTTATATGTTCTGATTTATTTTCATCCTAATATTGGATATTGTTATCATCACCATTTTGCAGAATGGGAAACTGAGGCAGTGATAACTGACCAGTGTCCTAGGTTTATATAAAGCAAAGCAACCAGAATTCAAGCTTGGAATGTCTGTGCCGCACTCCACATGCAAATAAGCAGAAATAACTATCTTTTTAGTAGTGTCTAGAAATCCAGTCAGCACTGCTGGGACAAAAATTCTTTCAGAAATTGAGTCTTTGTGTATGCCTACAGTTAGCTTCTTTGCAGGCCACCATTTTCTCCTGTCTTCACTCCATCTTTTTATAGCCTAGTCTCTCTCATTGAACCCCACACCCCAGTATGTTCCTTAGACGCTATCTCCAGTTCCCAGCTTCCTAGTGACCTTTTTCTGTCTGTCTGTGGCAAATCCTGCTTCCTCACAGCATCCATTAATAAATGATGACTCCTGTGCCTCCTACCCCATGATAACAAGACCTGAGTCGCCAAGGCCATAAAGCCCCCTGATTGTTTTGGTCTTCAACCTGCTGTCCAGCTTCTCAGTAGCACTTAAAATTTGGGATTGAGCCGGGCAGCAGTGGTACACACCTTTAATCCCAGAACTTGGGAGGCAGAGCCAGGAGGATCTCTGTGAGTTCGAGGCCAGCCTGCTCTACAGAGCAAGATCCAGGACAGGCACCAAAACTACACAGAGAAAACCCTGCCTCGAAAACCAAAACCAAACCAAAACAAAACAAAAAAAAAAAACCCTCCAAAACTTGGGATTGAAGCTGGAGAGATAGCTCAGGTACTATAGTGCCGGTTTTGTAAGTATGAGGACCTGAGTTCAATTCCCATAATCCATATTTTAAAAAATCCCAGCCCTCGGGTGGCAGAGGCAGGCAGATCTATTCAAGGCCAGCCTGGTCTACAGTGTGAGTTCCAGCACAGCCAGGGCTGTTACACAGAGAAACCTGGTCTCTAAAAACCAGCCAGTCAAACAAACAAACCTTGGGATTGACCAGGAAGTCTGAGAGGAGACCAAGTCTCCTAGAAATGACAGGGAAGCGGCTGCTCTTATGATACCTCAACAACATGGCTGCCTAAAGAAGCCTGAGCAGGGACACCAATGGCCATGCTGTCCTGGAAGGGACAGATCTCACCAGCTCCACCTCTAGACCAAGAACTACAGCGTCCTTGGCCAGCTTTTAATTTTCTACTCAATAGCAGAAAGAAAGTTGCACTTCATAAAAAAGGGGAAGTTTTCCAGCCTAGGCTGAGAGGGACGGTACTGAAAAGTGGTGGGTTAAATGTAGCTTATGAAAAGCTCACAGTGTTTCCCCCCTTCTCACATTTCACTGCAGAACAAGAGGAAGGGACGAGAGCAGTCGCGGGCATTAGGCTGGGGTTGGGAAACTGCTGTTTCCCCAAGGAACTCGTTGCTCTGTCTTCAGTTCTGACCTACTTTGTATCTTAACGTTTCCAAGATTTCTGTCTTGCTCTCTTTCTCTCCTCACTTCCACTCTTTCTGGGAGGAAGAATCTGGATCACAAAAGTGATATAATATTGACAATTTAGAAACATTCACACAAGTGTGAGGATAAAATAAAACTCAGATTTAGTTCCTCAGTGGCAATGCTATTTGCTTTACCAGACTGTTTTCTCTGCGCGCGCGTGCGCGTGCGCACACACACACACACACACACACACACACACACACACACACACGAGACAGGACTACCTCAAAGTCAAACCTTTAATTAGTATTTATTGATTTATGTATTGAAACAGTTCTGCTGTGTAGTCCCAGCTGATGTGGAATTCGCCGTGGAGCCCAGGCTTCAGACTCAGCTTCTCAGCTTTAGCCTGACGTGTGCTGAGCCAGCACGCCTGGCCCAAATTCATTTCAGTTTTGATTATCTGTGTGGCTTGATTTCTTTCTTTCTTTTGAAATAGGATCTCTCTGTGGGGTCAGAAATGGCCTCATATTCACTATGCTGTCCAAGCTGACTTGAAACTTAGAGTCAACCCCTGCCTCAACCTCCCAAGTGCTCCCAGGTGACAGGTGTATGTCACTGTGCCTGGCACACTTAGTTATTTAAATCAAGTTTGTCCTTTTCCCCACCGTGCTAAGTCTGTTCTTCTCTGTGCGTTATCACACGATGTAACAGCATCAGCAGCTGCTGATGGCTGAGCTGGAACCACCGGAGCCCGTAGCTCAGTGCGTCGATGGTATTTCTCCAGCATTGGTAGCTTTTGAATGTGATCCTTTTTCCTTTGCCAATTTCTTAGTGTAAGCTCCTGTTTCTTGTCTGGATTGTTACCCTGTCTAGTCACTTCCCCTCTTCCCATCTACAGATTATAGCCTCAAACTATTAGTAAATCGGAGACACAGATATGCTATACTGCAACATAAAGCTGTTACCATGGGACGGTACCCAGGCTCTAGTCCTCACTGCGACTACTCTTAGCCCTCAGTGCTCTCCTAGGGAGGATCCGTGATTGTGTGTTACTAACCCACCTGTGGTAAACCTTGCCCACAGGCTCCCATCGTTGGCACTGTTAAAGGAGGTGCCTTTGTGTCCCTGTCCATTAGTTAGATTAGCCACAAATAGTGTTTATGTATAGTGTTTGTTTATCAGTGAGTGATGCTTTACACGTAACAATCTCACTCTTACCACAGTCACCAAGGAGCTGGTTAGCTGGATGAGAGGACATGAATCGTCAGTGTGTTCCATCTCTGTACACGCATCCGGAAGATACGCCATCACTACTTCCTCGGACACAGCTCAGCTCTGGGACTTGGATACTTTCCAGAGGAAGAGAAAGCTGAACATCCGCCAGTCTGTGGGGATACAGAAGGTCAGCCACGGTGTCCTGCTTTGTGCTTCTCCCAATGTTTGCTTGGTCATGGGATTCAGGGGGACGGAATTGGATGATATTTTGTGTCTTCAGTAGCTGTGATCTCACAGTACAACACCGGCAGAATAGATAGTCGGGATTAACTCAGAATACTGAAATTCTTCTTTTAAATTATTGTAGCCGTGAAACTGCCACTGTCGGAAGTGACAGGTTTTAAGATGTTTTAGTTGTGAACCCTTTTCCAATTTTGCTATCAACAACCTTAAACATACAGCAGATTTATAAGAATTTCACATTGAACACGGATACCTGTCATCTAGAGTCCTTCATTAACATGTTAGTGTACTGTGCAGTTTGTTACATGTTAGGATATGATTGATCATCTCTCCCTCTGGTCGTTGATTGTTATTTGTGTATTTTAAAGTCAATTTAAATGTAAATGCAAACATCATTGTACTTAAGTACTTAAGCCTGCACTTAGTCGATCATGGTTGAATTGTTTGTTGATAGAATATTCACACATGAAATGCCTACACGTCATTTGGTGAGTGTGACAGATGTGTACGTTTGTGACCTGTGTGGGTGAGCTTCACTGTCGCCTGATAAATCTTCATCATATCCTTTCTCCCCCCACCCCCCAAAGGAGGTGTTCTTTTTATTGAGGAGTCTTTTTTGTTTGCATGGAAAACTTGGTAAAATTAGTGTGTATTGAGTTGACTCTTCCTGATGGCAGCTCACACAGCGGGAACAGCCAGAGCTGTGCAGACAGCATTGTGTCCATTTAATTAATCCAGGTTTTTCCCACTAACATTTGGGTTCACAACTGTCTCACCTTAACCAAACAGTAAGTCTTAGCTGTCTTGTGACTTTCGCTGGTAGCAGTGGCCACTGCTCCTTAAATTTAGAGGAAAAAAATTTAACATGAGAGTAAAATCCCTGCAGAGTGAAGCCAAATTATTTTAGGAGTAAGCTGACCAAAACTCACAACATACATCCTCTTAGGTGTCCAGAGGGAAAGCTAAAATAAAGCAAGGCAGTCGGCCAGTCAAGGTCCGTGAAGTCACTGTCACTAACGTTCAATCACCAGAGTGACTGCCGACCCGTGAACTGAAGGGTGGGTAGAGGAGGGTGGCGTGCTCCACACAAACCCGGATGCAGTATTGCATGCACACATACTAACTTGAAAGTCCATTTGGATATAGCCAACAATCACATGCATTGAATTCTTTTTATTTTATTACGTTCCTTCCTGTTCGTTTCTCAGTTCACAATTGCGTAGTATGTGGGAAGCCACTTGGCACTGGGCACTGGATCTTTCCCTTCACTGCTTATGCTCATAGCCTTTCACGGGTATTTCTGATAGTTTTACTACGGTTTGGTTTTTCTATTATGAAACTCATATAAATTGAACTATTTGGTAATAATTTATATAAGGCCTGTTTTATGTATTTTGTTCCTTTTAATCACTAATTAGTATCCTATATGTAAATATACTACCTTTTAAAAGAGTCATTTATTTTGCTTTCCATGTTTAGTATTTTTTTTCTCTGATTAGCTAAATACTATTTTTAGTAGTATCTGTGTCTCCTGTGAGATTAATTGCTTTACTTAGGCTGTGTTGTAATGTGGTGTTGCCTTTATTCTCTTCGTTACTAACATGAGCAGCTAACAGTGCATGTCAACCAAAAATTGATCACACGGTCTCCATGGAAGTCCCAGAGTTCTTTAGCATGCCTTTAATAATTAAAAAGGAGATGGAAGTTGTAGGCTGCATATTCACTGGGGACATGAACCAGATGTCTTAGTAGGTCTTTTCTTCTTTAATTGCTCTAGCACTGAAATTGAATTGTAATCCTACGGCGGAGAGGGGAGTGGGATTTGAGCCCTCTGGAGATGGCTGTGGAACAGTGACAGCAGCCTTCTGCTCTTAGCATGCATGCCAGTGTGAACGGTGTTTTTAACTAAACGTCTCCAGATTTTAGTGGTATGAGAATCCAGTTAGAGAGAGAGACAGTGTGTGTATGTGTGTACCGTGATGCATGCATGTAAATATATCGCAAAATAATAGAACCCCGTAGTCTATAAGTTACCAGCAAACTCTTTCTTTACAAAAGAGATAGTTGGGCAAGCAAGATGGCTGGGCAAGAAAGGGCACTTATCACTAGGCTTGACGACCTGGATTGGATCCCTGGGACCCACGGGATGGACACAGAGAACTGACTCCTGCAAACTGTCCTCTTACCACCATGTGTGTGTGGTAAACACTCACGCACAAAGATAAATATAATACGAAACCAAGATTACATAGCCCTTTAAAATGAAACTGTTTAAACATGTAAAATAGCCTGCTGTGCAGCCTGGGCCTGTAATCTGAGCACTCAGGAGGCCCCAGGATTGCCTCAAGTTAAGGCCAACCTGATCTGTGTAGCCAGTTAGAGGCCAGGCATTAAAATAAAAAAATAAAAAGAATGAATAAGTAATAAAAATAGTCTTTGCTCCTGGGCTATGCAAAATTTGGAGATGGCCAAATAGTTTCTGTTTCTGGTGTACAGTGTTGGAAATGGAAGCTAAACGTAACCCAGTCTTCAAAATAAAACTTTAATTCTGGTCGAATTTTAACTGACAGGATATTTTTATTCCAGGTTTTGATTTTGTAATTTAAATGGGACCTTTATTTATATTGATGATCCTTTCACTGTGATGTTAATTCATAATGGCACTTTTCATCTAAACAGTGTCCCGTTCTGCTTGTCTGTGTGTGATACCAGTTTTTTTTTAAGATCTGTCGCCTCGGGACAGGCTTCACAGGCTGCACTGGTCCTACCATTCCATCACTTTTTATTTCCTGTCCTCTGATATTTCTTTTTTTTTTTTTTTTTTTTTTTTTTTTTTTTTTTTTTTTTTT